ATTAAATTAAAAAAAATTGTGGTCTTGTTTTCGGAAAAAAAAAATATTTCTATACGCTTGAATATTGATTCTGATAACGCAGTTAACGGGAACCACAGGGTTTTTGTTACATGTTGTATATATATATATATATATATATATATATATATATATATATATATATATATATATGTATGTATGTATATATACTTAGCATTTTATTTTAAAAATGAAGAAATTGTCAATTCTGGACTATTTTTTATTACTATATATTTTTATTATTTTCGTCACTTGAAAACATTTTTAAGTATTTCAGAAGGCTTCCTTTCTGTTGTCGGTTCTTCGAACTATATGGCTAGTCCATTGCCAACTTCGACTTACGTTGAGGTATATCGGTTATTTTGGTTCCACTGCGGATATCCTCATTACGATATCTATGACTCAGAGAAACTTCAAGTTTAGTCCTCTCCATAGCTTGCTGAGCGACCCTGAGTTTAAAGCTCCATGTCCTACATCCATATATCCTCACTGGCGAAATTGTACACAACGTACTGATGGTACACTCTTGTTTTTAATTTTTGAGGTATAGAGATAGAGAATACATGTCGTCAACGCTGTGAAGCCAAGTTTTATCCGTCAATTCACCTCTCGGTCGAAGTTGGACATACCTTGTCGGAAAGTTTGTTTTAGGTCAACGTAGTCGTCAACAACTTCGAGCATAGTGGTCCCAATAATTACCGGCATAGATGAGACATGGATCCGTTACACGTGATCTTAGATTTTCTGATATTAATTTTAAGATCGGAGATATGGGGCACACTATTGAGGTAATTAAACACACTGGTAAGGTCCTCCAGCGTACTGCCATAATGACTATATCGTCCGTAAATCGAAGATAATTGTTAATTATGTGTTAAGGAAATATATAAAAATGAGTATTTTGCTTCTTACCCGCGACGGAACGACGGTGATTGACACGGACGGTGTATGCGTTTAGGGTGAGGGATTATTATGAATGAGTCATGGGTGCCTTTACGTTTTATTATAGAACAAGGGCGACAAATGAACTCACAGCCAACCCGATGGTAAGTGGAGACTGTGGCCGATAAACATCTACATCTTACATCTATCCTCGATTAAGATTCAAAATAACATTCGTCAATCCACAAAAGAGAGAGAGAGTGGTGGACTCTTACTGCTTTATTACCTCAGAAAACATAGAAGTGCGATATAGAATGAGGGAAGCCTAATAGTGGCCCGTTTAGAGGCAGTAATTTAACTTTTTTTTTAGTAAATTAAGAGTGTAAAAATAAACATTGCAAAACTATAAAAATATTTGCTTCTGTTTTATATTGTTATTACTAAGTTTTAAAGTTGAAAGTTTAAGCTAGTTTTGTAGTATGTTCTTTACTTATCTTTGTTATCCACGATCAAACAAGTCAAAAATAGATTTGAGATATTTAAATTTTACCTTCATCTTAACTTCCCGCCTTTGTTTCCGGGACTCACAGAACCGACAAATAACAATTGGTTAGGAATTCGATATGAACATAATATTATAGATGCGGGCGGGCGCCGTGATACATCTCTGTCACTTTCGTATTCCACTATCGTCTTAACGTTGGCTGACACGTCTTCATACAATATATTATTCTAACGTATTTCAACGTATTGTAATATGCTGCCTTTGATAGTTTAGCAACCGACAATCTTGTGAGTTAACGTTGATACGTTCATTATTATTATTATGTGGAATATTTGAATAGTTTTTTCATCTGGTTGGGCTGTATAAACATAAATGAAAATGCTAAGTATATATACATACATGCATATATACAACATGTAACAAAAACCCTGTGGTTCCCGTTAACTGCGTTATCAGAATCAATATTCAAGCGTATAGAAATATTTTTTTTTCGGAAAACAAGACCACAATTTTTTTTAATTTAATTTAAAAAAATATTTGCAAATTGTATGTGGTTTTATTTCCTCTAACTCACACGAGTATAGTTAATGCAGAGTCTTTGACAATCCTCTTACTCCTCGGCCAATGCAGAGACAATTTCTTCATTTTTAAATTTGAATAAAAATGACTCCACATTAAAATTTTCAAGCTAAATCTAGGATAAAGAGTAATGAAACCGTTATAATATGATTTAAAGATTCTTAATAACGTCGGAGGAAGCTTAAATTATATTAAACTGTGCTCGTTGATTGGATAAAGGACCCGTTGTCCGATATAATTATTCCTTGAAAGAATCAAGTAACATGAGCGGCGCTTGAATGGTCCAAACACCAAGACATTCTTAAAATATGTTCTTGTATAATTGTCCTTACCTATTACTATATATTTAGGTATTTTAATTCGTCTTTAATTAGTTAATATTTATTGCATTCGCCGAGGACTCCAAATATGAATTTAATATACTACATATAATTAATAAAATAAATTCTAAAATAATAATTTATAATAAGATGTTAAAATTCTGATTATGTTATTTTGCTTGGTATTTCATAGTGAAGCGATATGATGTAGCCTTCTAAGTTATTCTCCTTCAAGTTAGACCACTAACGGATGTAATCGTTTAAACCGTCTATTCAATTAGGCAAGACAGCGTGGTCCTCTATTAGAGTATTCCTGCCTATGCTTTTCGTTCCTGTATATAAATCTGTAAAAACTTTTGAAATTTATTTATGATTTATACCTTTTTGAATATTTATTAGGAAAGTTCCGCTGGCGATTTCCTGTTGCATTTCTTTCTGTCGCTTCTTAAGAGGAAATATAACCTCAAATGGCTTAGCAAGATCCTCCGTTATGCCGAAAGTATTGCAGCATTAATTTTGAAATAAATATATGGTAAAGTTGAGGATTAATGTTAAGTACTATGTTAGACGAAAACATGATTCCGTAAAATTTTCTCGATAGAAAAAAAAATTCAAAAATACCTCCAAACTGAACAATAAACCGCTGTTATTCATAAAATACTTTAAATAAGATCATGAAACTTTGCATGCTAACTGAACTATCTATAAAGCAGGGCTTATGTTTTTTTTTAAATTACCATTATTTTCACTGTAAAAAGAAATTACCTAAACTATCGGCGTCCTGGAGCTTGGAACCGGGCGACATAGAAAAGTGGTTTTGGTGATTTTATAATATTAATTTATAATATTAAATCGAAATATTTTCGTAATTTAGGTTTTGCTATACACTAAAAGACTATATATTACATTATAATAACGCTTAAAATAAAGTATTTTAGCTTATAATAATGGTTGTATTCAACCTGAAAGATAACTCTGATGCATATTTTCGTAAAACGCTGTGAAGGGATTGTCTTCGCCCTAAAAAACCGTCATTAAAAACTATGATTTTGCATTGCTATGTACTAAATAAAGACTTCATCTTTCTATAGCCCTAATTTTCAGCAAATAATCTCCTCACATCGTTACGATATCGACTTTGGAAAAACCATAAAACATGTAGTTTTTGACGCGAAACGCATATGCTCTCTTAAGCTACTACTCCATAAAATAATAAAATATCTCCGGTTGCTACCCACCAGCCAAGCGTGGTAACTATGGCAAAACTGCCACTTATGTGTTAATCTATGGGAAACGTCTATGATCGGCAGTGGACATTTGATAGGTTGTACATTTTCAATTAACAGTGTAATACAAGGTTTTTTCTCAACACGTTTTTTTGTAATTATATAAAATTTATTAAAAATGTTACTAAAAGTATAATTAACTGTTTAGTGGCGGTGTAAGTAAATCAACTGCCCCGAATGATCCTGTGGGTGTCCTTAGAAGCGACGGAGGAAAACAAACCAAGGCATATATATATAAGCAGCACTGTCTTTTTAATAACGAGAAAAAATAAAATTATGCAGGTGGCCTGTCATGCGTGGCGATTATGACAAATATCCCCCCTATAATAAATTTATGTGGGGGACTACATTCAGCGGTGGGCTTTTGATAGTGTGTAATGATAAAATCAAGAAGTAAAGTAACAGCCTATAGACATCCCAACGCTGTGCATAGCCTTCTTTCTCCTATTTGGAGAATTTTTGCAGCAAGTAAAAGTCCGCCGCACTGTCCTAATGCATGTTGGCGGACTTTGAATGTCCACTAATACTTTTTTTTAATGTATATGTATATGTATATATATATATATATGTATATGTATATATATATATATATTTTTGAAACATTAAACATTACAATTTGGATCCCGGTGGCCCAAAGTGACTTCCAAAATGTTGATAATATAGATTGCTGTTGAATTGTTGATGCTTCGTAAATGTTAGTAACTGATAACATGAAGTCAAGAAGATTAATACGAATGTAACAGGATTGTCTCAATATGGAAACATACAGATTGCGGTAAAATTATGACTTTCATTACATAAACATGCGACATTAATTAAATTAAAGACCTAGGTAGTAGGTATGTTACGTATTATTTGCATGACCATGCCTTAATTTAATAAACAAACGGCTAAACGTAATAATATCTGTATACCTATTAAAGTATTTAAAAAGATTACAATAATCAATATTGGTATGAAATGAATTGGTTTTAAAATGGTTTGTTTACGTAACTACTTATTTTTTGTTAGCTAAGCAAAGAAAAAGGAAAATTAATAAAACCGAAACGTAAAGAACAAAAGGGGATGAAAACATTAAGTACGACTGCACTTACATTCATAATTAAATAAAAAAGTGAGCATTCAATAATTAATGGTTCTCATAATTTGGTAAGATTTCATGCTCTATCCAATCTCATTGTCATTTATAAATATTTATTTGAAAATTTGCTTTTGATAACTATTGAACTTGAATAACCATTGAACTTACAAATAAACTCTAAAAAACTTTATTATAATGTAATAATAATGCTTGGTCATTTATTAAAATAGAAACAACGTTAAACAAAAGATTATAACTTTATAGCACGCAAAATTAATAACGAGTTTTCAACGCTTTAAAGTTTAGAGAGAGTTTTAAGTTTAATATACCTGTGAGAGGTCTGTATCTTCTTGAAGTTTCTCGGCGATAGTCATTTTTCTTTCTGCAAAAACTAGACATGGCGATATCACAAACAAAAGCACTATTAACCCACTCATGATATGTAGTAATACAGGTTCTACATCCAGAATTTCTAGTAAAGTAGGTACACTAATTTTCACTCGTGAGATTCATTTGACTCTTGTAGAGCGAAGTACGCGTGGAGCGACAAGGCTCGCGGCAATAAATGCCGGGTAATGCCGCTAGAGGCAGTGACGCGTTGCCGTAGATCGCAGATGGTATGTTTCTTTCCTGCTCACACTTGCGACGGTACGATGGTCAGCCGTATGGTCATCGCGGTAATGTAACGAATATGCTTAATTCAAAATACAACGAATTATGCAACAATGGTAACATCTTGTAAGATGAAAGCTCTGTGGATAAACGATAGGAATATGCAGAATTAAGTGATTTAATTCGCAACTAAAAGCCTACATACTCGTAGTAAAGGATTAAGGCTCTATGCAAGGAAAAATCTAAAATTATGACTACCTCATGGGAAATGTGTCACTCAAAGGGACTTAAAAATTTGTAATTTTTCCATAACTGTGAGTGTATAACAAAACTTACGTAGATGGGGCTAAACATAGATATGAGTAATGAAGTTAACGGTTAATCAATAACTCCATGTTACTTGATGACAAATGTGAGACACTCGCAATTAGGTATCTATTTTTAACATCACTTCCTTAATTTAATTTACAGCTTTATCGATGTCACCTTTTAGAAAGAAATTCACACGACGATTCACGAGCTTACAGTCCACCTAATGATAAGTGGATGCTGTGGCCTATAGATATCTACACTTATTACATCCCTGGAGACTAAGATGGAATGCCTCGACTCCGGTAAAAAGGATCGCTGGTTCTCTATACTCACCATACGAAACACCGAAGTATTTAGCTGCTATTTTACGCTGATATTCTGTGAGAGTGTGGTCGTGCCCCATTCGTGCTACAACTATAATATAAATGTAGCGTGGCTCTACCACGTAAAAATTTTGCCCTCAAATTCTTTGTTTCTTTTCAAAAATATTAGAATATTCTCCTATATCGTGGAGATGTTTTACATAAATAAATTGCACATAAGCCAACATCCAAACCGGCTACAATTATTTATAGACCATACAAACACTTTTTCGGTCGAGATTCAAACCTGTGGTAGGTACGTAGCCAATGCGCTATCTAGCCGATGAAGTTCCTTCAAAAACAGTAATCGTAAGTAAAAATTAAAATACAACGCTGTGGCAATATATCTTATGGCGAAAAATTCAGTTCTTCGAAAAAGAAGTAAATAAGTACTTTCAAAATTCTACTAAACATAAATACTAAATTAAACTACTGTCGCAATGCAATGGAAAAGAAATATAATTATTGTCCTCTACTAATACGCAATACTATAATGATTGTTAAAATACGTACCTACTAACCTTTAAATTTTACCTGCTCTCAACAATTCCTCGTTTTCTCATATCGGCAACAAACGTGACGGGCACAGATTATGACCCATTGTTGTTTACGACTATAATCATCCATTTTTTATTACTTTGTGATTTTTTGATACATTTTGTGATTTTACCTTTTGTGTTTTATGTTATTTTACTAATAAAAATAAAACAATCCGTTTTTAAACATGTAGGGGTGATAAGCGGGCATCATACACTACCTGATGGTAAATTGATGCCGTAGACACATTAAAAAATTTATTCAGATTCAGAATTAAATTGCAGAGTATAATTCACTGGTGATACTTTCACACCGGCCTTTTGCGATTTTTTTAATATAATAAGGAACAATCAAGCATACAGCCCAACTCTATAATCTAAAATATGTTCTCGATAAAGAATCACAATGCAAATACGTTGGCACCTCTGAGGACTAAGATGAAATGCATTGTATCCAGTAAAAAGGATCTCCAGTTCTCTACACTCAATATACGAACGAAACACAACAGTATAGAGCTGGTATTCAGCAAGAGCGTGGTGCTTCCCCGATCGAGCTGACTCATTCGTGCTACAACCATAACATTGCTGTAACATGGCTATACCACGTATAAATTTTTCCAAAAATGCGTCGTTGAATACCGAAAGAAAGTTGTGACTGAAGTCAAGCCTTTGCTAAACAAGTCTCAGATATCAAAAACGACTAATTCTAGTCCAGTTTAACATCAAGAGAACACGTTTGCGCGCTTACCGCTAAAAATAACCTCTTTTTCATATCTCCTCAATCTCAGGGAAAACTTCTTGCTGCTTCAGACAGCATCGGAATCCTCGACGCTGGAAAGGAAGCCGAAATTGGCCTCTAAAAAGCTAATAGCTAAGCGCGGTAGAGCTGGACAGTGTTTTATGCCGTCACATCACCTGCACTTGACAAGGCGCAAGATGGGCCTCACGTTAGTACGTTAGTAGTTAGGAGTACGGTTGACATCTCTGCACCGGGGCTCATCGTTGCCAGCTTCTTCCACTTGACCGCACCCAGCGAAGAGTGAACTGAATCGCCGGCGACCGAGCTCTTTCTGATCGACTCGATTCACTGGCAATTTACCGGGAGGGTGCTTAGAGAAATTGTTCGGATCAATTCCAGCTGCCAAATTGCATCTGGATGCAAGGCTTCTTCCTTGTTCCGGACTTTTCCGGACAGATACGACTTAATATTTAAAAAATGAACTTACTCCTTTTTAAAGGCCACCTGTCATTCTCCTGATGTTGAAGTTATCCAGGGGCTGTGATAGTCACTTAACATCAGGCAAACCGCATGCTCGCTTGCCCTCTCTTGTAGAAAAAATACATTGTCACAATTGAGGCCTAACATGAATTGCATAATTCCCGTTGCGTCGTGCCTTAAACGGTTGCAGCACGTTATTTCATACTGATTCTTTTCTTATTTTATTAATTTGCCCTTACAGTGAGAAATCTTCATTTGTTCGTTTCGTATTCTATTTAATCATACAGAATAAATGCAATTAAATGTAGCTCTGTTTAAGAGAAAAATCATTTAAGCAAATTAATACACCTATTGTTAACTTTCGTCTCTCAATATATTCACGAAATAGTATTTAATGTACCCGGATGACCAACCTTTGCTAGGTTTTTTTTAAGTTACATTTAGATACAAATTACATGAAAAATATTTTTTGATCTTATTGACATAATAGAAAAAACTGAACCGGTTATTTGAATAAAAAATCATGACTGCAATTAGTTTAATTAAAATTTTCGTATTTTAAAAAAAACTAAAAAAAGGGCTCGAAATAAAAGATTTTCTCACAAAAGAAGGGAACTTGAAAAAAAAAAAGGAAAAAAGTCGGACCCAAGACGGGACGCGAACCAAGTAATAATGATTTCACGACCGCTCGATATCCATTGAGCTATTACAATCATTAACAAAGTGTCAAAATTTACCTCCTTATATTGTAGCAGTTTTTCATTGCCTGAAAACACGGACAAAAAGACATTTTCCAAAAATAAATCCTAGCTAGATCAATTTATTGCCCCCGAAACTCCCTGGACACTAGATTTTATGAAAATCGTTGGAGCCGTTTCCGAGAATCCGATTATATATATATATATATATATATACAATAATTGCTCGTTTAAAGGTATAGGATACATAAAACATAAGAAGTTTTTAGAAAATAAGTGATACAATGTGTTCTACTTATACTCAAAAAAGCCACAGGCGCAATATATACCAATATCTTGACTCAACATCTTCAGTAGTCCATTCATAGGGCAACATACCATTTTACAAGCTAATCTCAGAAAACATACAAAATTTCTCAATAGCCAAGTAAAAAAATAATATTAAAGAAATATCTAAAAATATTATTGTTAAGGAATGAATCGATGGCAATAACCCCTAGAAATTAAACTTTTTTATTACAATTTACATAATATTCTAAATTGATACATAACTGTAAACGGTTTCTTTTTAAAGGTAAACTCAGTAATTTCTTGTTTGTACTTCCCACAACGAAGGTATTTACCGAACCAGTGAAAAATTAAAGTGAATTATATTTTTAATTAGTATTATATATAAACCCATATTTAATAAAAAAATTTAATTCTATTTCTATCTCTGTTTAAAGTTTTCCGATTAACTTTAATGTCAACTTAATGAAAAGTAAAGTAACAGATTACAAAGCGTCAGCTGACAAGGCCATCATGACTTTCGTTCCTGAGGAGATTATTGAGCGGGAAACAGTAAGTTGTACGCCGCGCCGCACGGATTTTGTTTGTTAACAATCAGTACAAATGCTTGGATATTTAGAACAACAACCGTAACAAAGTTTTCTTTCTTCCTTGTCAAGTACAAAATGTACAACAGTAATTTTTTGAAATTACTTAGTTTCAACAGTGCTGGCGGGCATCAAGTTTTTAGTGCACAAATTCTAATGAAACTATGAATTATGTTTTATCTCGAAAACTACAATATTTCAAAACATGTCAGGCGCAGATGGCTAGCCTGCAGATAGAATTCGAAACAAGAACAAATCCCTTAAATCCAAAGAGTTTCACATTTAACATATTCTTATGCTAATCGTAAGACCGGGCAACTAAACATACAAAGGGTAAAGATAACGTTAAAATTGTACTATTAGTTAAAATTTATGTAATAGCAGACTTCAAATAACTAAAAAGATTAATTTTAACTGAATAGCTTTAGAAGCCGCGTCTTTAATTCTACACACTGTCTTAGCAGGAAATTATTCTATCGTTTTTAGTTCTTAGAAGAAAGCTTTTGCGTTTTATCAAAGTCTAACTAACTTTTCAACCCTTTTGAATAAAAATCACAGGCTCCGATGTCGTCTAAATTTTTTCTTCAAATTTATATCTTCGTCTTAATCTTTCTCCTAAAAATGAGCCATTAAAATAGATTCTTAATTGACGAAGATATTAAGTAAAATACATATAACCTCCTCCGTTTTTAAAGTGGGTTATACTATAATATATAGTTTACTTCTTAAGCAGCCCGTAATATTCCACTGCTAGATATGC